ATTTAATCTCCGACTCAAATAGCAGCAGCTATAAATACAAAATCATTACATTTGATTGCAGGAAAGCAGTGAACTAAACAGGGATAAATACTCACCAATAAACTGTAACTTGCTTTCCCATTAAATAAATAAGAAAGCTTGAAAGTTCATTAGCTACCATTTTTAGAGTTGTTCTTATAATGGTTAACAGTTTCCATTACAGCTTTGACAACTGTCAGTAATTAATTAATTTTGTAAAGCAGGTCAGCCTGTAGGTCTTTTCCATCACAAACATAATCTGAAAGATTCAGGTATGATTACAGTCCACCAGAAGCAAGTATTCCTGTAGTGCAGGCTACTTATTATGTTTGCTTCATTACCTGAATTGCCCATCTCTACCTTATCTTTTTTCCCCACCATTGCCATACTGTCATATTGAAAGCTCAATCAGTAAGATACAGAACTATAAAGTTTCAGTGCTAGGAAGTTATTTTCCATTTTACTTAAATAACTTATGATGGGAAAAAAGAATAAAACAGGAAAAAATACAAAGGACGGTAGACTTGGAAGTAAGTAGTGCAAGCTCACTCTTATGAGAGCATAGGTAAGCTCTTGCCATTGCATTACAGGTAACATTGCTGCTTCAGGAAATTAAAAAAATCACATCTTGCATTTGGAAATATAGTCATAGAATCATAGAGCCATAGAATTTTAAAGAAACAATTGTTTCATTTACTCTAACCCAAACACCTCACAATAAACCTTCACCTTCCTCTCCTGTGTTTGAGCAGAATTGTCAGTTATGCTTTGAAGAAACTTGCAGGAAGAAACCACCAGTACAGATGTAGCATCACCACTCTGATACCTTGTGCTAACACTCAGTGTGCATGCTTTAACAGCTGAGATTAACACTTAAATACTCAAAATGAAATTACTGAACTTCAACTTTTGGTCATTTTCATTGATTTCCTTCTCCGTGTAGCTCAGAAATTGGCAATTTATAAGGACTAACCGTGCAAACGGACACAGTTACACACTGGAATAACAATGCCTCCAAATCCTGTCTTTGATAAGCTAAATCAGCTGCACTCTATCTCACACTGAGACCGCAGAATTATTTGTGTCTGTCTGCTCAATTTAATCTTCTTAATTTTTTTCCCCAGTGTCCACAATAAGCTGTTCAAAGCAGAACAGTATCAGTATTTCAACAAACTAAAGTGATTCTCCTGTATGCCCTGCAATTACCTTCAGCGTCAGAAATACATTCACTTCTATTAGGTAGTGAGTTCTACCAATGAGACACATCAAACTGACTGCTGTAGTCCTTGGATCTTTTTATTCATCACCTTTCACTGGCACGGTCTTGCACTTTTTTGTTCCTCAGAATTAGAGCTCACTGATCTGACTGGTCAGCTTGACCAGAACACACACCCCTTGTACCACTGCTGTGTTACTTCACCAGTCTTTACAGCACTTGCAAGCTTTAACGGCTTTGCTTTTAAACAATAAACTACTTAACACCTATTAACGGCTTGCACATAGAATTTAATAGTAATCCCAGAAGCCCACTAGATACACAGTGTTGATTCGTGGCTGCTCATGAATAACAAGACCTTGATATTCGGCGATAGGAGAACTTCATTTGTGACATTCTGGAAGTTTATTTGTAAATAAAAACATCCTGAAGTTAAATTCCTAGCCGAAATCTGTTCTTGGTGTTATTGGAATAGGCTGCCCAGGGAGGTGGTGGAGTCACCACCTCTGGAGCTTTCCAAGAACAGCACAGATCACTGACGGACATGGTTTAATGGCAGCGATGGGCTGACAGCAGGACTAGATTATCTCAGTGATCTTTCCAACCATAATTACCAACCAAGCTTATAATTGCTTGGAAGAAAGAAGTCACTGTGGTAACAGTGTAACATGTGGCTTCAAACACAGTCAAAGATTCAATTAAAGCCATTCTCATTAATTACATAAGTGTTGGGATTTTTCATTATTTAAAGACTACCAGGCTGACCAACCTGTGGAATACAGGGGAAATGGGAATGTCTGTGATAGTGTATGCATACATGCCACTAAAACAAAGACAGGCAAGCCAGAGATGTCCTCAATTAACACCGCGAGTACCATGAGCGGAAAGCTGAGCAAAACTACCATTACTGACCTTACCAATGAGAAAGCTAACCACACTCATCTCATTTCATCACAGAATCACACAGTTGATCAAATAAGAGTTCATCAAATATTTAGCAAAAATAGGCATTAAGCCTGCCTTCACTATATTGTCATCAACTACTAAGTCATCTCCACTGAATTTACCCAATTACTGCACTGTTTTTTGCTCCCATTATACTTCATCTCATTTCTGCTGCCTAGTTAACATAAGTCTCCCAGATGCCTTCGGCTTTCCTCACTAACATTTTCGAGAAGAAAAACAACTGATGACATCCTATTTGATTCACACGCATTCTTCTCGCTAATGCAACACCGATTTCAATCACTGCCACTGCTTGCACTTCATTGAGAAGGTTTCAGCTAAAAACATATTCTCATCTCCGCCGTTTGACCTGCAGCTCTGACATCCAGTCCACACGGAGCAGCTCGCAGCTCTGGTTCACGTTCTGCTGATAGAGAGGTCCTCCTGTTTGACTGCATCTGGTTTCCCCCAGCCCCAAACAACAGCCCATTCAATAGCCGCCCGTACTGCTGGCAACAGAACCGCCCTTTGTTTGCCCACACATCAGAGTTTCAGAGAATTACTCATTCCGTTAACTCAGCTATTGGTTCACCTCCACACGGTGATTTAAATACAAATAAAAACAACAGGTAATGGGGGTAAACGGTGAACGTTCCGTTTCGCTTAACCAAACGCCACCGCTGTTCTAAGAGCGCAGTGCTTCAGGACGCCTGCCCTCCCGAGAAGAAGCCAATCCTCTCCCTCGCACAGCGACATACGCTTTCGAACGCCGTGCCCCGCTCGCTGCTTCTCCTCCCCGTCCGTCACATCCCCCACCAGCACTCTTTTCCTGACCCTGTTTGCTAGCACAACCAAAAGTTGTGCACCGGCGGCCACCGGCGGCCACCGGCAGCCCCGGCCGAGGCAGGCGGCCCGCCCCGCTCCCCGCGGCTCCCAGCCGGCCACTTCTCTCTCCCCGACACGGCCGACACAGCGGCCGCCTTGCGCCCCTGCAGCACGGCCCGGGGGCGCCGAGGCCGCGGAAGGGAGCGGACTCCGCCGGCGCTCTGCCGAGCCGCGGCCCGGCGCTGCGTGGGGGAACGCCTCCCGCACCTCCCCCGCCTCCCGCCGAGGCCGGGCTCGGCCGGCCGGCCGTCCTTCCTTCCTTCCCCCCGGCAGCGCGGCCCGGAGGCTCCCGCGGCGCCCCGGGCCAGGCCTTCACCTCATCAGATCCCGGTAGTCGAGGAAGCTGAGGATGAGCAGCAGCGGATCGGTGGGCAGCAGCTCCAGGCTGAGAGCCGGCGGCTCCATGTCCAGGGGCGCCGCCATCTTGAGAGACGTCCCACCGCCTCGCCGCCGGGGCCGCCCCTCGCGCCGCTCCGTTGTCGGCGGGGGCTGTTGGCAGCGCCCCCTGCCGTCCGTTCCGCCGCTTTGCGTCCCGCTGGTGGCTCTGCCGCCTGTCCTGGCGACGCCTCGCCGCTGCCCCGTGCTCCAGAAGGGCGGGAATTTTAATATCGTTATTATTTATACATACTATTATTCTGGCTTCGCTGTGGTCCGTGTTAAAAGGGCTTGGGGTCACTTCAGTGATTCTGTTTGGAATGCAGTCCGAACACCTTTGAATGATACACAAGAAAGGGAGCAGTGAATTGCAACACGGGAATTTTGTGCCCCCTGCATCCATTATAGTGATATTCATAAACTCTGTTCTTAAGTGAGACCATTTTATATAGATTACAACACAGAATATCTTTGAATCATTTAAACCATAAATCTTCCTTGAACATCTACGGTGAGCTGACCTTAACCTCTATACATTTGGCCAAGTTTGATAAACTTTGCTTCTTACCTCTGTATCCAAATGAGGGAAATGCCAGAAGACGATAAGAAACTACAGGATGTAGGTGGGTGTAAGGCATTACCCAACCTCTGTGTAGTTTATGACCTGACCTATGGAGCTATGACCCCTGAACAGGCCAAAACAGGGCTTTGCAGCTGGCTTTACTCCAAGTTCATTCAGTGCAATTAGGTCACTGAAAACCAGTTCATTTACTACAGTGCCTCTTACAGCTACCACTGAGAATAAAAGGGCCCAAAGAAATGTGTACTGTTATTATACTGATAATATTATTTTTGCTTTTTTGTGTGCAAAAGAAGGAATAAGTTCAGGGCATATAGGGAAAACAAGGCAATTAACTTTGTTTGGAAGTCTGATAATCTAAAATTAGCCATGACCCAAGAGTGGCTGTAACAAACAGTAAGGAGTAAGGGAAAAGAAATTATAAACAGGAGCTGTATCGTCATGCTGAGACTTCAGTGAGTCAAAGGAACATAAAGATAGATCAGTTGTCCTTTGAAAGGTGAGGGATTTACATAGGAGCCGATAAGCAAATCACTTTTCCAGGCTTCACAGGAGTCAATCTCAGATGAGATTTGAAAGATGCCAGAATGGTAGCTCTAGGGATCAGAGCCAGAACTTCAGTGAAATGTGTACGTGAATAAACTAAATATTACATATGAATGAGCTTGTTGGACATTTTAGTAACAAATGGGATTTCTGTCAGCATACAGCTTCAGGCTTTCTCCTGACAGAATGAAACAACTGGTTTTTAAAAAATCCCCTTCTTGTTACAGCCATGTATACACAAACAGTGACACCCTTCTTGAATCTCTCACACAACAGGAGATTAACCATGGCACCTCCAAGGTCAGCTGGAATCAAAGGCAGCCCACAGGCCAGCTCTGGTACCCCCAAGGGTTGAGCCAATGGACTTTATCTCGGGGTTACAGTGAAATGCAAGGAGCAGACGGAACTTACACTCAGCTTTCTGCTTCTGGACCAGATGAGGTGTGAAGAGTATAGTGACCCAGGCAGGTCCCTTAGTGCAGAGGTGTTCTGGATGAATTAAACCCTCATATCTTAGTGTCTTTGAGCCCGGAAGATCCTGGGGCAGAGATGAGCTATGGAAGGTGTGCTGTGCTAGTAAAACTGTGGTCCATAGATTTGGAATTATTAGGTGACCCTATATGGCTGCTCTTGTCTACAGTGGCTGCCCAAGATTGTCACCAGGACATCTCTGCTTCTTCCCCACATTTTGTTGGACAGGACTCAGTGACTCTATGCTTGTCTTCTTTATTAGCAAAAATAAATAAATAAAGAAAAACTCTGAAATGACACTCAGGCATTTATTTATGTTTGCTAAGAGTGCAATTTTAGTAGCCTCTGCTTTTTTTTTTTTCCTTTTTTTTTTCTTTCTGCAGAGGAAGGCCTCCACCTTAACACAAACTGACATAATCAAGTTTTATTTTTTTTCCTGTGGTTTCTTAGATCAGAGTTGGTTTTCCTTTCACACAGTGTACTTTGACATCAATCATAGGTGAGATATGATTAAAAATGTAAACATTCATCCATGTAATTTTCAAAAAAAACTTGCTTACTTTATGGAGTGTAAATAGCATAGAAAGAAACAATCCTTGTCTCCAAAAGCTGACACATTAAATTCTGTGAGCAGTGGGTAGTCAGCAGGGGCCTCCATCAGAGCCCAGCATTGCTGATACCCGCTCTCTTGTTTTGTATGAGTGCATTTGTCCATGCTGGAGTAATGCTAACAGAGAATAGCTCTGAGGAGTCCACAGGAGATCATACATGCATGCTCCCAAGATGGCTGATTTCAAATTTGGTCAAAAAGTCTTTAATAAAGTTTTAGGAATTTTCATTATTTCATGTGCTTACAATATTTTCACTGTGTATGATTCATCCTAGGGCATGTGTGAAAGACCCCAATGAAAAGAAGCACTGGAGAAACATTCCATGATCGTATGGGAAGTGTTAGGAGCCCAGTTGCTTATATGCAGCTTTTACATTTGTCTAGAAGCTCTGAAAGCTTTTCTTTGCTTGAGGAAAATGGAGAACAACCATGTGCCCCTTTGAAAATTCTGCTATCACTGATTCTTTCACACCTGAAAAAAGCCATCTGTATGAACCAGATAGCCGCTCACTTTTCAGCTCCACATGTTCTCTCTTTGGGTTGTTAGCTGAGATTCTTAACAAGACGACCACTAGCTGCAGTTCCAGCAGTGGAGTTTTTGGCTCTGAACACCTGTGCAGCAGGAGAAAGGCTGAGCCCAGTGAACATTCATCAGATGACAGCAACAATAAATTACTGAAGTGTTGAGCCGGATTTGAAGAGGTAGCACAAAGATAAAAGACTCCAGAAACCCTTTGCAATTCCCTTAGTCATCCATTCCCACTGAAGGCTTCTCTTTTGAAGTTTCCAGGAAGCCTCACGTGCCCTTTGCTCGTCCTTTTGGTAGGAGCTCTTATCTGCCTCGTGCAGACCCAACCACTTTTTGCTGTACTACTCAAAACCAGTTATTACGGGATAAACAAACTGTGTTTGCTGATGCATGTTCTCAGTTCCCTTATCAGCTGAGCAACACGCTTCTCTTGCACGTTGGGTCAAACTCACTGCTGGTCCAGCTCCAAGAATTCCTGGGGAATTCAGTGTTCACACCTCCTGTAAGAGAAAAGCAACCATGTTGTGACAGAGTATTGTCTTACAAGCGGACCTAGAAATTCCCAGTGTTGCAAAACATCCTCCGGTTTATAATCCCAGGTCTTATACATTTTATTAAGCTAGCAATGTGACATCTAAGCACTTTTAAATGTAGCTGTCAAGATGCTGCAAGATATTGTCAGATGGAAGAGTATGTGTCTTAGTGTAGAAGAACTTCATTTTTATTCAGATTGTCTCTTGAAAATAAATGTAAATAAGTAAACAGTCTGTACCTCAAAACCGACTTTCACGTGTTGTGAAATACACTGTTAATGTTATCTGGTAAGAGATGCAAGACAAGTTTTTTTTGCAGGGATAACCATGCCCACAGTAGCAGTACAGAAGTCAGGATCTCAGGCACAAGCCTGCAGCTAGGGGCTCAGCTGCCCACCACCCAGGGTCCCAGCCCTAAGAGGAATAGCCTCAGCACTGCAGGCTGGTTGTTACTACTCCAGTCATACTGGAGCAGCATCCCCCCCTGCCCAGCTATTCCAGCACCTCCACAGAAATAAAACTTGCACACGATCTACCTTTGGTCCCAGGCTTCACTAACTTACACCAACATACATGTAACCAGAATACCTCAGAGTACAGCAGAGATGTTCAGGAAGCACTCAGCAAATGGCATTTCAACCTGTCATTAGAAAAGAAATATCTCTTCCCTGAAAAGTGGGATTTTCATGCATCATATGTTTTCCACCAAAAAATAATTACATATTGGAAAGCCAAATTTGTAATAGGGAAGTCATGCAAGAACAGCTTTTTGATCATCCCTTTACTGTTTGCAAAGAATACAGAGAAGGGGGCTTAAAGAGATTTTGAGTATTGCCTGAGTATCGTTGCAAATAGTGAAATGGTTGGTATGCAGAGAATAAACCATAGACATCATTAGGTGCATTTATTCTAGCAGAAGTTCATGAGTTTTTACAGCCAATGACCGAATGTCCCCATAGGCTTCAACACGTACAGCTGAGCTGTATGCATTTAACCATCAATCACAGAGGAGAGAAGTACACATCATCAGTGTACCAATCACTTCCCAACAACTCACGGGAAGTATCCATACAAAATGCTATCTGAAGATGCCCTGGGATGCTCAGACTATATTTGAGGATGTGAAGGGGCTGCATCCACACCACTGGATAGGTCAGGCCGTGCCATACCGATACCTGCTTACTTAGCACTTGCAAAACAGTCCATGCTTAGGTCAGGAGATTTAAGTTCTGGTCGGGTATAAGTCTGTCTACTGTGCAATTTTAAGCAGGTCACGTCAATCTTGGGCCACAGTTTCCCCACCTATGGAATGGGGTTTGTATCTTCAAAAGGGAAGAAACAATGAATTGCTGCTTGCAAGGCACTTGTAAGGCGTTGAACAGAATGTGGTTCACTGCTACAAAATATGTTGATTAACTAATGGACAGAAATCTGCTGCTATGTTAAGAACCATTCAGAAATATGCCATCTCATTAGACTGGAACAAAACAACCCCCAGCAGGGGGGGAACAAGTTACTTCAAACAAGGTTCAACTTTCTGCCAGTTTAATCTTTGTCTCATGGATAGACTTGTGAATCTTAATTTAATTACAATTCTTTAAATGCTTTTTTTATATCATATCTGCATCTCTCTGTTCTATGCCTTTTTATGGTTTCTCTTCTGTTGTGGGTCTGAGGAATAGATCATTTTTCCCAGTGTCCATTAAAATTTCCATTGCCTGCAGTGCAATAAAAGAGATGAACCTGCTGCAAGAGAAATAAGCTGATGCTGCGCCGTCTTTTTAGAGCAACAAAAATCTTTATAGATTATTTTTCCAAGTGTCATGAATCTCCTTCAAAGTCACAAGTCACTGTTATCAATTAATAGACTTAATAGTCTCATTTTCAATTCACATTCAGGCCATGCAGAGGCTGCGCTCATCCCGGCAGATGGTTGAAAGCTTTGCCTTTCAGAGATAAAATGTTACCTTGTACATGGGGGTAGTGAGGAGGGGGGTGATTCAGGAGCAGAAAGACGTGTTAAAGTGCAGCACCTGAGGCCTTCTTGTTTTCTGAATTTACAATCTCAGGCTGGCAGTCGTATAAATGAGTGATGCTCTATGATGTTCTCCTCCAAGCAGGCTACGAAATTGGCAGGGAGTCTTCGGTTTTGTGCTGATGTGTCCAGAATTCCAATAATTTGATTCTTGGGTATAATGACAATTGGAGGCACAGTATTACCTTGAGAACAGAGAGGGGAGAGTCAGCTTCTGTATCCTCTATCGAATTAACAACCGATTCCCATTTACTCTCCCTGCTGAAAACTCTATTATGCAGGGTTCTTATTGCCCTTATTCAAGGACATGGAATTAAAAAAGTAATATTGATGGTAATGCTCTCATTTTCCTACCATGACATTGAATAATGGGGACAAAGAAGGGAAATCTTGAGGGATGACATGCCTTTTAAAATACTGACGGTGTTGAAAACACATAAAGGACACTATATTAGAATATCAGCTGATGAAGTCTTATTCAGATTACCATGCTTTTTTCAACGACTTTAAATAATTTTTGCTTTTATTTTTTATCATCGTTTTCTGAATATTTTATTTTCTTTTTATTCCAGAAGAGATTCCTGGCTGTAAGGAGTACAGTTGCGAGGATGGAGGGGAAGTGTTGGTTAAACCAGTTCCAAGAGAAACCTCTTCTCCCTCCACTTGGACTCAAATAACAGGAGTTATATATGAGTTATGAGCAGTATGAGATATGCAGCTGGCTTGAAAAAGTGGGAACTCACAGCAGTGTGATGAATGTAACATCACATGGCAATTTGACAGCAGAAGAAATGCTAGGAATGACTACTGCATTTTGTTGTGTTTATCCTTGCGTTTTTATACTTGGTAGATTTTTATACTGTTTTTTTAACCTCTTCCCTTTGTTGGCATGCATACATCACATTCTGTGATGTCTAAGGGTTTATCTGGCTAGGAAAAGCCATCTACAGATTGACATAATTATACAGACAGAGGCAGAGTTATACTACTGCTCAAGTGGAGACTTGTCTTGGCACAAGTTTTTGTCTTCCAGTTTACCTTAGGCCTTACACAGACTAGATAAAATAGGTGGTCTTATAATAAAATAAGAACATCCACCCTTCAGCATCATTCCATGAAATATGCATTCACTTAAGTTAAACTATTTTTTCCCATGTCAGTGATACCTTACACAAAATAATGAGTGCATTGGGATTTTTGGAAATTTTTTTAAGAGCAAGTGATGGTATCTCCATTTCACAAGTGAGCAATGGAGAAACAGAATATTTCACTAAATTGCTAAAAGTCACACAGGAAGCACTTTAGGAGGTGGGAACAAAACACAGATCTTGCTTTCATTAGCACAAAGCCTCTATGAACTACTGACATTATTACCTCATCTCAACTCAGATGGTAATGAGGCCCCTCACACTGTTTTCAGTCAGACCTCTCTATGAGGTGGAATTGTGGAAATCAGCATTGCAGCGTGTCTGAGAATGGTTGAAGACTACACTGCAAAGGGTTTAGGGAATAAATGTCTAAAGTTTGCTCTGTAATGATCTTAGTTGCTCCTGACCGTATCAATGCCATCTTTACATCAATGTAATTCTGCCACCAGTTATTCCAGTGTCACTTCTACTATTGCTCAGCATGAGGTCTGAACAGGGTTCAAAACCTCTTTGTAGCAATTCTGAAAAGTCAAAATCACTGCCCACTTTGCCAAAGTCCCTGGCAGTGTCAGGACCACTGGCAGAATGCTGCCCATCCTCTGACTCATGCTCCACATGTTGGGGTAGACTTCATCCTCCCTGGTGTAACACATTCCCTTTGATATCTACCTATCTGTCTCAATATGCCAGTAGCACGGGGCTGCAGGGAAAGCACCTTTATAGCTGATTGCTGTCATCTGTATCTTTTTTTTTTTTTTTGCCCTGAACTTGTAGATGTTAAAGAAGCTGTAAGCAGCCCTTTCCCCTTTTGTACTGCGGTGCTGTCAGGGTTTACTTTTTCAGGGAAAGGAGAAGTGTGAAAAAAGAGATCCCTGAGAGATACATTACCATAGGGCATGATGACCTGCAAAGCATTAAAGGCATCTGCAATGAAGCTGTTTTTTATGAACTTGTCTGGCTCACCGTGTGAGCACGCTGCACAGACCTGAAGAATGTCTGTGCACCTGCACCTTGCTTTAGCATCATGAATATGCTCAGTAAGTTGTGCAAACTAACAAGGTACTGTGATAGAGTTTTTGCAATAAGCCAGTGGGGATGATGAAGGTGATAGCTGGATTTTCCTTGTTCTGGGTACACAGCTTTATAGCTTTCTTGCCTGTGCCGGCAAGGATGTGTATTAGGCTAAGAGCTGTAATTATAACAGCTGTCAGTGGCCTCCAGAGGTCAGCATATCACTTGAGAAGAACTAAATCAAGGAGGACTCAAAAGGCCCTTTCTCATTTCAAGCATGAGATCATGGCTCCTGTATAGTTTTCAACTTCAGTTGTAGTAAGATTTAAAGCTTTTTGCCCCCAGTTCTGCCTGTGATAACAAAAGCAAGGAAAAAAATAGCTCTCAAGATACCCACTGTAAAATGCAACATGTTGTCACTAATTAGCACCACTAGAAAAATGAGAACTAAAAAAATGTCCCTTAGGTGACAATCTTATTTAAATGAATGGGACAAATAGGAATCTATGTGTTTAGGTGCTACTGCTTATGTGTTGCTACTAATGGGATGAAAGCACATAACAGCTGTGTTCTGAGCTGATTGTTAGACTTGTTCCACTGTGCTATAAGCTCTATTTTTAATATGTTGGAACAGAATTAACAGCCTTTGTGGCACTCTGAAAAGGATAGATTGGAACCAGAAAACATGTAGACGTGAAGAGGATGAGAAGTGTGAAATAGCTTTCACACAAGAAAGAACTTAGATTATTCATCCCAAAATGATACAAGTTGGAGGGTTTGTGATACGTCTATAAGGACAAGCATAATGCAAAAAATAATGATGAGAAATGACAATTATCCTTTCTTCCAGTATGTTGGACACCCAACTAAGTCATCAAATAACAGCTTTTGAAAAATACAAAGTACAGAATTAAATTGAGAAATCGGTTGCTTTTGAAGGAGGCCAAAACTTCAAAAGCCAGAAAGAGACCAGGCAAACTCATGGGGTCTGAGTTGCTGTTAAGCACTGGGGCCTGAGGGCAAAGTTCAGAGCTGTTAGGGCTTTGAACAGAAATCTTTCTAAACATTAGTAAATTTTGATTGGCTCAAGTTATATTAGACTGGTTTCAATGATCTAGAGCAAAATCAGGACCTAATCCTACATGACCTCCTCTGAGATCAGGCAGCTTATTCTTATGTTGCACAGTAACACCCAAATGTATTTCACGGCATCAGCCAGCCCCAAAACATCCTTACAGGCACCCATGTCACACAATATTACCCCATTGGTCCTTAGTATGAAAAACTCCATAAAGCTTCTTGAGGCTGACTGGTGTTTTCCTGCTGCTGCTTTGAAACACAACCTTAAGTGAATCCAGCAAGAATCAGCTGTAGTCCAATTGCAGAAATCCCGCTACAGAAAATAAAATAAATGATCCAAACAAAATATTCCATCTGATTTCCAAGAAAGAAATAGTAACACTCAAATCTTCTGTCATTTTTATTAAAGCTGCAGAGTCTTACTACACACAACAAATATTTTATCGATATAATCTAAGTTAATAAAATAGCTGAACAACTCTTTAGATTTATATTTGTATAGAAATGATCTGTGGAACATCTCATCTTGAAACAGCAGTGCCTGAAAACAACTATTCAGCAGGACTTTTTTGAAGAACAGTTTGGGACTAGAGGATGCACTCTTCATTCTCACAAAAAAAAAAAACAAAAACCCAAACCAACCAACAAAAATCCATGCAAAAATAACCCCCGCCCTCTTCCCCCTTTCTCTCCTAATCCAAAACATACTGCCTTATCAAATGACCACATAAGGGACTGGCCCCTTTTTTTTCCAGTATTCTTCTTCATGTCTACTTTAGGAGCAGTTGTCTAAACTGAGTAACTAAAAAGAGTTGAAAAGAAAAATCAACTGCACAATCCTAGTCTGCAGGTGACAAAGTCATAACATCTCTTTACATAAGTCACTACTGTTTTTCCATTTATGAGCATTCATTATCACATTGTGTTTGCTCCTCAGCTCTTGCCTATCTGGCTGATGTCAGTTATTGTGGATACGCCTTTGTTAGCAGGCCAGTCTATCTACTATTGCTTCAGTCTCCCTTCTTCATTTATATGTAGTTTGGATTCTACACAGCACTGCCTGAAAAGGGCCTACTCTGTGGTATTTCCCCCCCATTTTAGACAAAGCACATAGCTCAGGTGGTTATCTCCTCACTGCAGCTACGTGTCTGCATCACCCGTGAGATGTCTTTTATAGATCATGAGCCATCTCTTTGCTATATCATTCCATTTATCTTAGTCCACTCGTAGATGTCCTGTTCACATACTATGTCCGAGTTGATGAGGAGGTATCTGTCCCCAACACAGAAGTGTTTCTGGCAGGCTGCACATTTGAAGCATTCAAGGTGATACACTTTGTCCTTCACCCGCATGGTCATCTCATAAGCCCGGATCCGTTTGTCACAGGAGGCACAGAGGCCATCTTGGCCAAAGAGCCTAAAACAACAACAGCAGAGAAGTAATTAGAGTTCCTTTCCCGGAGAGGTGGGGAAAAAAAGTAGTCAAAACAGGAACACAACATCAGTGCATTGCCTCATTAGTCAGACTATTGCCAAGATACATAGAGGTCACACGGAAAGCTGCGGAGCAGAACTCAAACCTCTGAAATACCAAAAACTGAGGAAGAAAGTCCAAGGTCTTCACTTATTTCTAAGGTAAATGATTTCTGTGATCAATGACGTTACCCTGAAACATTGAGCAGATTCAAGCAGAGTAAAGGTTCACCTGATTGTACATAAAGTTGTGTGATGCTAATACTTCCTCTGATACCATCAACAGAAATTACCTTTCAGTTGATAAATCTTGCCTATCTTCAGCTGTTGCTATTGTGGTTCACAGGAAAAAGTTGCCACATTATGACATATCTACGATTTAATATTCTACTGCATGCACTCATTGCTTCCATATTTGAGATTCTTTCAAACTCAAATACTTCTGTATTCGTGAAATCACTCCTGCTGCATTTCAGGATACATGCTAAGACCTTCCAGGTGCTCTGCTGTCCCAGAAAATTCTATGTTCTGGACTGCTCTTTTGAAAGCAGATTGAGATTCCCTGCTGAAATCAGTATGCTATCTTCTATTAAAAGGAGCCCCTAGCAAATGCACCATGTATGATGCCCCCCTCACAGCATTTGCCACCATTCTCAGCTGAAGCAGAGCAACATACTCAGCCATGTGTGATGACAAAATGAAAAGCAGCATTTCACACAGTCTGCTGGTTACAGTTTTAAAAACATATTATTAATAAATAAGGGACATATAGAGAGTATGCATGTATATAGAATCATAGAATCATTTAGGTGGGAGAAGATCACTAAGATTATCATGTATAGTCCTAAAAGGAGGGAGAAGTCCTATTACTTGTGTATAGAATACACTCATTGACTTTGAATTCTATGTTTCTATACTAATTTCAAAAAGATTTTGTCCACCTTTACACTTCACTTCAGTGCCTGCTTCATGTATCCTGAACTGGAAATGGAACACCTATTACAGAGAGCTCATTAAGGGCAGAAGATATATTTCTTTAGTCTACCAGGAGATGTCAGTGTCTACTTCTGCCCGCTAAAGTGATAAGGTTACACAAACGTTGCAAGACGTCTCATTAATAATGGAAGATACCATGTTACATAATTAAATAAACAAAAACATTTCATCTCATGGCAAGAAAATACATTACTGCGCTGACACATTTTGTCTTGCTTCTCTTTTAAAACAAAAAGTGTCTGGGAAGCGTAGCTAACACAGGTTCATTGGAACATGATGTCTGCTGAGCGTTTACAAGTGGTCCCATTTCTGCCAAAAGAAATTCCCATCAGTAAGTTCTGGAACACAATTGCTAGGAGCTCCTCTGAGATGCTGCTTTAATTTTAGTAGATTTCAGTAAGGTAGCTGAAAATATATACAATGTCTTAAGCCTGTTCCACAAACTTCCTGCAACAGTAGGGATCCATTGGGACAAATGGGATACAGCCAGCGCAGCTAAGGTCAAAACATTTCTCTGTAACTGAGAACATAGAGATCCTTTATAAAGAATGCTTTGTGAAATATATTATTCCCAGTTTAATCCTCTTACTTAAAAATTATGGCAAATCAGATAGGAAGATAGATGTTGCTGAAAACTCCACTGGGTCCAGCTTAACAGGACCAAACTTCCCTGTACTGGCTGCAGCTCCACACTACACATCCAGCACATGATTTCTTTCTGCTTGAAGTGCTCCTGATAAGTTACCAGTGATGCAGAAAAAGACATGGATCGATCCATGTACAAAAGGCTGTCACTTCAGAACCAAACAAGTACAGCAGTCTCACTGCTTGGTGGAATCAAGCGTCTCTTATAGGGTTGACATTACCACATCAGGAAAATGAATTAAATTCAGTTACCTTGGATACCATGTTCTTAAATGAGAGAACGAAATGATCTTTCATCAGTAGCCAATCTCAGCACCTGCTTTTATATAACTTTCAGCTCCAAAGCAATGCCTGGTGGCACAAAACTGCTTAAAGCCATTCTGGGGAACTGGCTTGCAGTCAGCATGGGTGGGAAGGTCTTCCTCAAATTCTTCACTGTTTCCCAATTTTTGCTTGGCAGTACCCTATGCTGACATGGCTGAGTCAGCATCCAGCTATGTGGGGAGCAGCAGCACTGAGCAAACCCCATTACTCTTAAACTCTACATCTAAGATTAGCCAAAATGAATTATGCATGATCCTTTGTTCACTAGCTGTACCTTAAATTGATAGACAAAGCTGAAATGGTAGAAAGAAGCAGAGGTGAATAGAATAAGTTGCCCAGAGAGGCGGTGGATGCCCCATCCCCGGAGACACACAAGGTCAGGCTGGAAAGGGCTGTGAGTGCCTGATCTAGCTTAGGCATCCCTGTTCATTGCAGGGGAGGTGGACCAGATGGCATTTAAGGTCCCTTCCAACTCACACGATCCCATGATTCTACGAGAAGCGGGCTGGGAGGCTGCATACCTGAGATAGTCCCTCCGGCAGAGCTTCCTGCCCAGCTTGTAGTACAGCCGCCGGCCCACCTCTCCCAGCCGGCACCCGCACAGGTCGCAGCTGAGGCAGTCCTCGTGCCAGTACTGGTCGATGGCCTTTAGGAAATAACGGTCCCCGATGTTCTGCTGGCAGCCCCCACATGTCAGCAGCGAGGGGGGGATCTGCAGCACCTCGTCCACTGGCTCCCTGCGAACAAAAGGGGCATTGGAGAAGGGAAACACGCTGCCATCATGAGAAGGAGGAGGAGAAAAACCAAAACTAAAGACAATGGCAGATGGGTCAGGTGAGAACACAGAGCACACCCTCATTTTTTCTCCCAATGGAGTGAACAATTTATCCCCTTCTAACATGAGAGGGAGCGAGCAGGACTTCACTCTTATTGCGCTTTAAGGAGATTGGGATAACTTAAAGTATAAGGAGCTAATAAAAGTAACCAAATATTTGCTAATTTGTTTTATATTTTTCTTCAAAGGATAACACAGAAACACAAAGATCTCTTTATCACCCAGGAGTATTCATTACCGTAAATACACCTAAAAGCTTTTTTTCCCCCCGATTTTTAAGATTTACCTATAAATGTCTCTATGAACTCAGACAACATCTGGATCTACCTCTAACTTAATGAAGAGCTCCATAAAGCACCTCTGCACCCTGAAATACACAAGCCTATTGTTTAGACCTGATGCTTTCAGTTTTGACTGTAGCGCTGCTTGGGAGCAAAGGGAATTCTGTCTCACAGAGGACTGTGGGTCTAGAAAAGGTACCTGAGGGAAACTACATGCAGCCAGCTTTCCTCTGGGGAATGTAAATTTGTAGACTAAGTCCGGGGATGTTATTTCACTGAGCAGCATTAAATAAATAACGACAACAGATGTAGCTGCTGCCCAGCTGGTTTATGCTTTGCTGCTGTTTTGAATGAAGCCCGGATTTCATCCTACGTTCAAAAGCTAAAAGGAAGGCAGGTGAGCTCAGTTCTGCAGTGACCCAGACCCTCACCCAGACCCCAGGGAAGCTTATAAGAAGACTTTGGGATAAGTCCTTTAGCATCTGTATCATTTCAGCCCTCTGCTAGTGGAAAGGAAATCACAGGTTTGCACATTTAGGTTTATCTGCTTTACTAGACCATGACCAAAGTGCTCAACAGGAGGCAGAGCAGAGCCCCAGACTGTTTGTGGTCCTCACTCAGTTCAGAACTGGGCTGCACTGGGGTTCCAGCAGGCAACAGGAGAACTCCTATAGCTGCTGCCTCAAGGAACTCCATATATTTTTTACTAGGTTAGCAATTTTCTAGGGAAATATGAATCAGTTCAGTGTGGAGA